TAAGCCGCCGTTCGTTCGACTTTTTTAATTGTCCTTTTGGCCAATAATTTTTTATTGCCTTCTAAACGCCGGCCGACGTGCAGAAAATTAAAACAATTGTCTGGGTCACCAGCAGGCCCCCGCCCCCAGGCATCGTCAATAAGTTGGAAAATAAAACGCGAACGCGTACCACAAAATTGTAAACAACATATATAATTTGATTGTTCGTTCCACGAGGTTGGCAAAGCCAGGCAGAGCAAAGCATTTTATAATTAAAATTTGTACTGCAATTGCTTTAATTAAAGCCGCAAGGTGAGTGCCAAACTTTACGACCAATACAAATTTCAAGCCGGTTGGTGTGAGCCCAAGCTGGGTGTATAATTCAAAATAAGTTTCGCACGGACAAAGTTTTCTTTCAAAATTTATGGCGCCTTCTTCGGGGCAGACTCTAATTAGCAGTGGGCAGAGAGAAGTCTCGGTCTTGTTTTGCCATCTAAATGATAACTTTAGTTCTCGAACAATGTCAACAAAATCTGAAGGCCCAAAGCTAGGGGAAAGTTGAATGAACTTGACTGAGAGGATGTGTTATAGAAGGAACAATGTGTTTTCCATCTTAAAAAAGGAATTTAATAACCAGAAATGTATAGCTTATAAGCACATTATTTAGTTACCTTAAAGCTACATAAATACTCGTTTCTATCAAGTTACTCGTATTTTTAATAACGACACATAAAGTCACTCCTGCCAATCAGAAGTTCGACTTGTTAGGGTATAATACATCAGCCTTTGTATCCTCTGGGCAACTTCCACCCATCGACATGACGTACAAATTTGCTGTGAAGACAAACTTGTTGTTTGCCCCTCAAGTTGGTGGGTTATCTCGAGTCGAACATCATCATCAGCAGCACATCAGCTACGTAGCAAAAGCATCTTCATAAGGATACCAGCATCAGCATCAGCGCCATCATCATAATTTTCTGGCTTCGCTTATCGAACTCTCAAAAAAAGTTAAGAATAATGTACACTTCAACATTTGTGCCATAGTTTGAAAAGAAAGAAGAAAAAAGTCTGCAAAAGATTGCGGAAGGCAATGGATGATGGCAGTGACAGTGGTTGTGGCCATGAAAGTTGAAGGGGAGACAAAAGGCCGGGCCGAAAATAGCGAACATAACTCGGCTAAAGAATTTCCTTCTTGCTAAAATATCCAGCTTCTTTGTTTGCCCTTGGGTAGTTGGACAACGTGATATCGTCCATTCCCTGAGTGTATGTCCCTGTGCTCGGTAATGCAAATGAAATGAGCTTTTGTTGGGCGGCGGGTAATCATTAAAGTCCACCGATTGCACCCATGCCTGGGACTGGCTGGGCAGTCCGACTGCGAAATGTGCAAATATTTATAACTGCAAACTGCGCGGCAAATTCATCAGCCCTAATAGCCTGCCAGTTGGGGAAACAATGTGCGGTTGCCAGGCGCTGATAGTAAACCCATTCGGTTTTCTGTTCCCTGGTCCCTGGTCCCTGGACTTGTGCCTTCCATTCCCCACATTTTACGTATCAGAGCTCCGTGCCTTTCATGCCATCCCATCATCGATGCTGCTCAATGCAAATGTTGTTGATAATGATTTGCATTTACGCGCATTACAGCAAACCCATTTCTGAAATGGAGAACTTTGTGTGGAAGAACACTTAAAAAAATTACTGACTAGTTGGTTAGTGAAATCGAATGAAGGAAGTTTCAACTTTTAAAGAAATAGTAAAGTGATATAAGCAAAGAACAAATATTTTAAACATAATTTCAAGTTTTTATAATCAACTTTCAACCAACAATCCAACAGAATTATTCACAAAAGATTTTTTAAAAGACAAAAAAGACTTTTGTGACTGCTAAAAAATAAATCCTAAGTGCATTTAGTTGTTAATTTTGGAAAATTAATAGCTGTTTCTGGGACATTTATAGAATGTTCTCAAATTCTAGGTCAGGGCTAAAATATTAGTGATTAAATTAAACAAAAGCTCTTTTGTTTTTCCATATAAAATATCAAAGTACAGGCCTGGAAAGGAAATACCAAAAAAATATGAGTGTAGGTCCTGTTTCGGTTCGCTAATGCGAAATGATTTGAATTCTTCGGACAGAAATTTCTTGCGCAAACGCAATTTATCTTCCTCAAATTGGACTGTTCCAGAGATAGGTGTCCGATAAGGGCTTTGACGTACATCAGAGGCCCGAAATCGAAAGAAATAATATGGATTACCCCTAACTTATTTGAAAGAGAGTGAAGGAGCAGAGCCTTACCTTCCTAATAATTTGTTGACTTCGACAATTGCCTGGCTATTTCCGTTGGTTCAATACAATTATCTAGAGATTTCCACTGATTTGTTTACTTGGGACTTATTTGCTTTTTGGACAGCACTTCCATTCTTGGGGTGTAGACTTTCGGTTCGACTTGTTTACTGTTTACAGAAATGCGAAACCGCAAACACAACTACCACGTTCCGTTCAAATAGCCAACTTAAGACAACAAAAAACACTTGCAAAAACCTAAGTGCTTCGAGAACAAGTCGAATCTGTGGCACAAAAAAAAATATGTTAAAACACCGAACAGAAGTAAAGGAACCAATTCCGTGCTGATGGAGCCAAGTGCCAAGTGCAAGGTAGAGTAGAAGGCCAACTTTTAACATCAAAGGATCATAAAACGCACTCGCACTTCCACGAAGGAAGGCGGGTCTAAAAGGGGTCCTGTCTCGGAGCTAACCCAATTATCTGGTCTTGGGTCACCACCAGAAGCAGCAAAAATTGTTACACGACAAAACGGTCAAGTCTGGGCCAGATGTCATTGGGTGCACTCTCCTCTCTATTTCCCATGTAGTCCTTCGGTCATTATGGGAAAAAATGCGGCCAAATTAAGAAGTTCCAGGGAAAAAACGGAATTGGTAAAACACGAAAGAAGTTGAGAATGGTGAGGTCAGACTGGTCTTGAAGTGTCCTTTAAAAAAATCTTAGGAAAATCTCTAGCAAGTGGGAACTTTAAATGTCTTGTTTAAAAACAAAGAAGTTATTTTAGAAATATTTTTTTGCAATATTATAAATCACATTTTCTTAATCTTGAAAGAACAAAGACTCAATATTTGAAGTAAATGGAAAAATATTTCAAATCATTTTTTTTGGTCAGCTTTTCAAAATGCAATTTCTTGTTTGAGCTTTAATCCATTTTCCTATCTGACTAGCAATAAATACTCAAATTTCTCGTTTAAGTTCTCATAAATCTGTGCTAAATTCCTAAACAGAGTATCATATTTTAGACATTGCCTTTTTTGACGGCAATCAAGTTTTCCCACTTAGAAGTGTGAGAGGAGAGCAGTAATTTGATTGCCATCCGCAGGCCGAGTCAAGTGAAAATTCAAATAAAATGTCTTTCGAAATCCAGGCGGAGGTCTGGCAATGTTTTATCGGATATTGAATATATTTAGCAAAGAGAAAGAAATGTATATATAAATGTTGGATGAAACTGTCACTTGAAAGTGTTCACTTTACTTTCACTCTCCATCTCTACTTTCCTTCTTGTTGTTTTTGTATAGCTTATCTTAAAGTTTTATTTTTTTTTGGCTTTTCTTGTTGTTCTCCGGGTCTTATTTTCTTGGGGCTGGAGAAGAGAGAGAGTGAGCAAGGACATTTCCAACTGGCTTCATCTTGTTTGACTTTTCCTGCCTTGACGCAGGCCCTGCTGAGTTGTTGGACTTAAGCCAGCGGGGATTCCCCCTTTCGCCCGGCTGTCGTCAGCCGAGTCAGTCATCAGCATCAGCATCAGCAACATAGTGAAAAATATTTACTGGCTTTCGTCCTCGTCGTCGTAGCTGTCGACGTCCTCCGCCCAACCACCCATCACTCCCCTCCTTCAGGTCTTTGTGTTTCTTGAAAATTGCTTCGCTTACGTCCATCCCATCCAAGCCCAAGCCGCCCATCTCAACCCAGTCCATCGCCCAGCTCCAAGGAAAAGTCTCCTACTTGACAGGACAACGACAAATTTTACGTGTTGTTTCTTATTTTTACTCCATACTTTTTGTTTGTTTACTCCTCGCCCTGTTTTTTATACCCGCCTCGTTTTCTCTGGGAAAACGGAGATGAGATTTCCGCTGCAATAAAATAGACTGGCTACCTTAAAGGCTTTATGACCCTTGGAATTCGCCAGTTTATGGCTTGTGTTATTTTTATGCACTCTACTTGGCTTTTCCCCTTGGCCAGGCCCATAAGTGTTGCCTCATCTTTGTTTTCCTTTCGTCACTTTGATGTCCCGAAGAAGGTCGCCAGCAGAATCGGTGGCCGGAGTTGAAGTCACAACCAAATTACCATAAAATATTAAATTACTTATGCATATCCCCATTGAGAAAATTCGTCTGCCGGTCGCCGCTCTTTTTATCGTTCTTGGTTACCCTGGGTCAGCAGTGAATGTATTCTCGGAAAATGGGTTACAATTCGACTTACTTAAGGTTACTTTGGCTTAATGTTGTCAAGTTCCAGCATTCTGAAAAAGATTCCCTTAATGTGCAGGGGAAATTCCAACTTAATGACTTTTATGGTGGAAAATGAAATGGATTTTAAAGACCATCCCTTCTTTGCTCTTTCTTATCGTTTTCCTAGTTTCAAGTTTAATTTCCGCAGAGCTCAATTCCAATTTATAGTTATCCCAACTTAAGAAATAATCCTCAACATTTTTAATTCATATTCATAAACACTCATCGACAAAATGAAATTCGTTTAGCACCAGCAAATAACTCATTCGCAGCGTTTGGGCATTTAGTATCAAAAGCAGATTTATAGCACCGAATTGATATATTTAAGTGAAACTTTTTTGCATTTTAATCAATGGCTCGCCAGAGAATACTAATACAGCCAATCAATTAGTTAAGCTCGATAATACTCATAAATGATTTACCATTCTGATGAACCAAAAGCCAGCAAACAGAAAAAGTGGACACAGATTTAAATAAAGTTTCACATGATTTATTGAATGCCTGTTATTTATGATGGATTTTTATGATTCAGTTTTATTATTTTCATTTAATAATATTATCTCTCTCTGACAATAATCTAATTATTGATTCGATTTCACAACTTGAAATGGGGGTTCTGCTTAAATTGAATTGTACATTAGATTGAATTCAGTATGGGATGGATATGGGAATGGATATGGGGGGGAGTAGGGGCTAGGGGATAGAGCGGATAATGTGAGACACGCAGACATGAGAGTTATGGTAACGTTTTAACCTAATTACAGAACCGTCAATTCTGCGTCGACGGGGCTCCTGCTGTTCTCATCGCTATTTACAAGGCCGCCTTTAATTAATCTCTAACCTAAATTACGTAACTGCAGATGGCGCAAAAGCTTACAAATAATTGGAAGTCGGACGCCACGACCAGGCGTTCAATAGGCGAGTCACGTCTGGGCCGGTGGTGTGTGCATCTCTCCCTGCATTGCCCAGAGAAGTCCAAGGATTCCCAGGAGTCCCAGCATCGCGTGGTACGTGCTCCTACCGCCTTTCGTCGTCCTTGCCGCCGTTGACATGATGGCCGATGCGGAATATTCACCTGTTGGCCATCGCAATTCGTCGTTGTGGCGACAGTTGCGATTAATATGAATCATTCATTTTGCCACACATTCAGGTAGATATAGAAGATGTATTTATGTTTAGGAAAGGACTCAGGACAGGACGACTCTGTCCCGAAGGCTGTTAACTTACCGCTTAGCACGTGCAGGTCCACGGATACGGAGACGCTGTTCGACGGCTGGCACGTATAATTGCCGGAATCCTCTTTCCGCACGAGCGGTATAATTAATGATCCGATCTGCAATAAATGTTTATGTTCAGTGACACTCATCAACTAGCCAATTAATCGCCGCTCTAGTCATAAACACATAACTAACCGTGTTCTGATTATCGCCCACGGTTCCGAATATATTCCTATCTAGCTGCGTGTACCAGCCAGTTTGCTCGTCACTTTCGCTTATCTTCTTCTGGCCCCGGAACCAGATTATGTACTTGGGCGGATCCAAGGTTCCACGGACGATGCAGTGCAGCGCCACTTTGCTGCCCGCCTTCACAAAGCGGCTCTGATCCCCAATCAGCTCAGTCTTGGGTTCTGTGAAGGAAATTTATGAATATTAATTTGATGTATTTGAAAGAGAGAGAGAAAAATCAAAATAAACCAGAAAATAATCACATAAAAACCACACTCACTGACTATCTGCAGATGCACTTTGGCACTCAGCTTTGGCTCCGTGGCCATCTGACACTCGTACCACCCAGCATCGTTGGGCTCCACGTATTTGATCTGCAGTGACCAGGTGTAGTCATGATCCTCCTGGAATATCGACTGGAATCTCTCATCCGCTATAAAGGTGGTCTCGTCCACGCTGATGATGTGGTTATCACGCATGCGCACCCACGAAACGGGCTTATCCGAAAGTCGATGTATCTGAAAAATCAAGTTATTATTTAGGATTCTTTTTAAGAAATCTCCTTTCTAGAGAGTCAAAGGAGGACAAGAAACCCTTAAACATTCAATAAATTATTCATCAAGGATATTAATAGTAGCCTAAATACCCAAGCTCTTTGTTAATACTTGATTTAATGATTTATTATTCTCAAAGGGAGTATTAAAAAAGAGCCAACAAAAGATTTCCCTTCCTAAAATCAGTCAACTATCAAGGCATCAAAGCTCAAGGCAGCCAGCATTTACATAACTATTATTATGTTAATCTTTGCCAATCTGCCGCTAATGAGCTTTCACATTACCCAGATTGCATTCGATGTTGACTAATCCATACATGAATAATTACCCCGGCCCGAACGAACTAATCCGGCCACGTTTGCTTGTCGCTGTGGCTGTTAAGTTGCAAAGCAAAAAAAAAATGAAAAGCAAAATCTGAAAGTCTCAAACGAATCAACGGACGTAAAATCTAAGATCCAAGTTGATGTCTAAGGCCCGGAAATGGAAATGAGGTCGGATCTGAAGGCGGAAAACGAGGATGAGGGTAGGCAGGGCTGTGCTTTTCTTTGTGCTAAAATATTCTCACAGTTGGCGTTTCTCGTTGGCCCTATTTCAGTGGCTCCTGTTTTTAGCCCTGTTTTAGCCTGCTTTCGCCTGTGGTCCGGTGCAGATCAGCATAATTTCATTTGCATATCAACAATTCGTTCTGTTTACGTTTATTTTTTATGACGTAAACAATAGCCCAGGCCGAAGCTTCTATTTGCCGTTTACAATTCCGCACAATTTATAAATATATACGTATATACTTTTTGCTCGCCTCCATTCAGAAGCTGTTCTTTGGGCTTTGTTAAAGTCCATTCAGCAGATATCCTTATACAGACACTCGTATTTGGTTGGAAGAAACACCTAGGAACGCATGTAAATTTGATGTCTGTTGTAGCTGTATGTAAAATACTCTGTGCAATATGTATGCATGCAAATAAGTGTTTCGCTTCACCCCCGCCCTAGCTAAATCTAGATGTATCTGTATCTGTATCTGTATCTGTGGCTGTGGCTGTGTCTGTTTCTGTGCTCCTGCGGATGTGTGAAAGCGTGTCTGTGTGCAATATGTAAATGCTAGTTTTATCTCCGGTCCGTTGAAATTAAAAAGGAATTCAAAAGCAGAAGGAGGGACACCGAGTCAGTCAGTCTGCCTGGCTGTCTTCCTTTGGTTTAAGTTTAAGTTTCGAGGAATTCGAAACTGAGTCAGGGTCGTTTCAGCTTGGAGTGGTTAAAGTCTTAATGCTGGAAATTAAATCCTTGGTGACGTGCTTGGCCTTAAGGTCTAGCTAATCCGTTAAAGTTAGCTGCAGGAATTTACAATTTTAGTCTCTTGGATAACCAAATTCCTTCATAGCCTCATTTCTGCTGTGATTTGATGTCAAGGATAAAGCTCAGCAGAAGAGTAAATAGGATTCCGGATTTAAATTAAGAATGGTCTAGGGTCTAGATTAAAAGACACTTTATTAAAGTAAAGATATAAGGTACTATTATAGTATTTATTTACTTTACAGCCCTTTTTTTATAAGTTCAACTTATTACCTTTAATCTATTTACCTAAGTAGGTGTTTTGCCTTTTCATGGCTTCCCTAATAGGATAACCCTTTAAGCAGCTTAACTGGTTGACAGCTATTTATAACACGTGACATTTAATTCAAATATAATATTCGCAATTAAACGTAATCTCGCATTAAACCCCTTTTCCGAGCGAACCTTTACGGCTTACCCGACTTATGTCACATGCCGCTCAGCGACATAAGGGTAAGCCAACCCAGCGGATTTTCCTATACACAACAAACAAACAACGGCACTGAGAGAAATGGTAACTAAAAGCATGAAAAATGTAACCAAGAAATAGGTTTCTGTAAGCCTTATGGCTTTCTAACTTTCTTCTTTTTAAGGGTTAACCTTGCCTGACTTTCTAGCCTACTTTCCTAGCATACATATATGGGCAAACCTTTTTACAAGTGTACTCTTTTCACTCACCTGACATGGCATGTAGGCGTGGTTTCCCATCTGGGCGGTAATGTTTAGCACGGGCATTGTGAGGTTACGTCGTGGCCCCGTGCCATCCCGATGGGCTGCCAGGTAGGAGTGCTGCTCATTAAACATTTGCCGGCGCAGCTCCTCCGGCCGACATTGTCACGGCTTCGGAGGATGTTTTTGCTGCCTCTGCCTGTGCCTGGGCCTGGGCCTCCGCAGCCAACTTAGCCGCCTCAGCGGCATCGGCAGCGGCACGGTAAGCGGGCAAATCCGCTGCCGCAAAAACGGGAAATGGCGGCAGGAAGGTCGGAATGGAAAAGCCCTTGGTCAATGAATCAGCGACACCCGGATGCGCCATCTTTTCACTTCGTCCTGGCTGTCGCTCAATGGAGTTGTGCACATCCGTTTCCGTTGATGCTGGGTAAATTGTTGATATGAGCATCTCTGCTGCGGTCTGAGTTGTTGCTGCTGCTGTTGATGTTGCTGCTGCTGGGTTGCTGCTGTTGCTGCTGTTGCTGCTGCTGCTCCTGCTACTACTGTCTGCGCTTCAGTTTGCCGTTCTGTGGCCTGAGTAGTTAGCCCAATTTGTGCTGACTGGCTGGTTGCTATCGTTTCTCCTGCTATATCTGCTGATGACATGCTCGGGGCAACTACGGCCGTGGAGCTCCATGCTGCCTCTGTTCCTGCTGCTGGCTTTTTTGCTGTCGTCAAGTTGCTGGCTGTCGTAATTAGATCGTTTTGTGTTGTCATTGGCCTATCTGGCAAAGTGGATCTTGCGGTAGTCGCAAGCTGTCCCTCAGCAACTTTCAGTCCCTGTGTCAAGACCACTGGATCTGGATTCGTTCCCAGCTCGTGACTACTGCAGGTGGCTACTTCTGTATGGGGAGACAGAATAAGGCTAGGTTTTGTTTACATCATGTTTGGGCATACGAGCTGCTAATTAGGTGGATTTGTAATTAAAGTAAGGTTTTTGGCAGGATAAGACTTAAAGGATATAAGTTTTTATGGATGTACTATGAGGAATTGCCAAAAAATAAATAAATTTTATCAAATAAAAAGGGCAAAGCCTTAAATTTAATCTCTCAATAAAGAAATCAAAGGAAATTCTCAGCTAACACTTTGAATTTAAATAATATTATGATCAAGATTATGTATATTTCCTCTCGGCAAGCAGAAAGAGAGAGTCCTAAGTAAATAAATTTAATAAATGCTTGCGACTCACATCAAAGCGTTGGGAAATTGAGAAAAATTATTGCAATCGGCTTATGCAAGGTGAACGACTTAAAATTCCGGCAAAAAACAAATGCGATTTCCCACTGTTTGGTTTTTGTGGAAAATGGGTTTGAGGGGGGAAGGGGATGTCCCAAACACACACACACACACACACATTCTTACTTTCAGAGGCACATGTATTTCGTTCGTTTCAGTTAATTTTCAATTACGCTTTTATGCTAATTAAAAATCATAAAAATTTGCCGCTTAATGTCACCGCCTGTGGTGGCTTTCATTTCATTTTGTTCTCTCTGTTTCCTTTTCTCTTTTTTAATTTTTGTTACTTTTTTTTGTTTTTGTATTTTCCACACTTTTTGCTGGTAAAAGTTGTTTGTTTTTTTTTTTATGTAGCTTTGGCTGCTTTTCCTTTCACCATTGCCGGTTTCTGTTTCCCTTTTAAACTTTTCCTTTTTATGTTTTCGACTTTGTGCCCTAGAGGAAAATTAAGCATAAAAAGTAAATGGTAACTTTAGCCTCATAATCATTTCATATACACGTGCAACTAACGTCCTTGGCGGGAGTAAATCAAAAGCTGCACACCCCCCCCCTTTCTAGGTAATCAAATGAAGAGCAACCCAGCTATAAAAAAGAGATAAATATATTCCATATTTACAGTGTTCTGTATTTATTCTGTTTCTATTTGCTGAAAGTAAATCTGTTATTTATCGCATTTACCGCGAAAATATTTGCTCAATTGATGGCCAAACTAAAATCAATTGCTGTCCAAGTGACGTAAAGCCCCATCAATTTGGCGCAAAACTTTATTAAAAGATTACAAAGCTAATAACTTCTGGCCATAAATAAAGAGAAAAAATAATAGTTTCTTCTTGACTGAGGAAAAGGCAACACCATCATTGATTAGCTCAACGCACCCACTCGAGAAAAAAGTTATTTTGAGCAACTTTCTGCCCCAACACTCTGGCAAGGACATGTTGCCCCAGGACACTCATACACTAAATTGTGGGGCGAGGAGCAGCAGTAGGAAGTGAAGTATGAACTTGGCAAGTCCATGTCGTTGAAAAGTAAAAGTTTTGTTGCAAAACCACAGAAAAAAAGCGAACAAGAAGATGAACTTGTCCATCTGCAGTCGAAACAGTTTGATTTCAATATTTATGTTTCACTTTTCTAACATGTTTGAAAAGTTTAGTTACCATTACATAAACATTGTTTAATTGATGTACAGAAATTGGAAAAAGAAAAACAGTTTAGACTTTCCATCAATTTGATATTCTGTTTGTAAATAATATTTCAGTCACACAGAAGTGCGTATTATTTATCCTGTCGTATCGCATAAAATTGGAAATATTCGTGAGTGGAAAACCAACTCATTTGCGGTAAATGGCAGCCAGTTCAATGCCCAACCAGTTCAATGGGCCGAGATGAAAGGACCGAGAGGGATTTGGTACTGTTTTCCAGGGCTAAGATATCAGTGGCTTGATAAAATAGAATTTGCATTTTTAAATTATTTCATTTCACGTCCTTGTCAGAGCCCTTGATTTAGGTAGACCAAGAAAATTCAGCCGTTTCTCGTTACCTTTCAGCTGCCCACAAAATCTACGTGTCTGGTTGGTCTACCAAAAAAAGGAAAAAAAGAAAAGCCAAAAAAAGACGTGGAAGCAAAAGTGAAAAAAGGGAATCCACAAGGCAACCGCATAAATTTCGCCACGAAATCATTTCGAACGAATGCGTGTGATTTGGCTGTGTTGATAAGGTCCACCCCAGGCCCATTTCTTTGTCCACCCAAAAAAAAAAAGGTTGCAAGCGAATTTTTGTTAAAATGCAAATTGAAAATTTCACTCCCAGGAAAATAGTAAATTTAAAATCCACTGCCAAATGGTATACTCTCTTATTTTTTTCTGCCTTTGGCTTGTTTTCTTTCTGTTTGGTGTGCTTGTATGTGTGTGTGTGTGTGTGTGTCAAGATGGAAAATCCCAAAGGGTGTGGGTGGGAAAAGCAGAAAAGCCCGAACGGGTTTGCTTAAGGCAGAGTTTGCATTTTCAATTAAAACCGATTTAGCTGGCAATCAAATCGGTTTTGATTTCCCTCAAAGGAATTTGCTTACTCAAACAAAACGAGAAAATTTATTTCTGTGGTGCATTGGGTATTTGTAATTCCTTGTAAGGGGATGCAGGAGTACCGCTCTCTTGTCAGAGAGGAGCTGGCCGATGATATGGGCCCAAAAACTATTCCCTCAAAGCCGATTAATTTACTGGGTTTTTGCCGTGTCCTCGCTTTGTCTGGCTTACCATGGCAAAGCGACTACTCCAAACCAGAAGTGTGATCTGGCCATTTAGAGCACTTGACGACAGTCGGGCAGACACACACACACACTTTCACACCCATCCATAACGAAAAGAGTGAAACGTGCAATAACACTCAAATTGTTTTCTTGTTTTCCACAACCCAGAATTGGCCGTTACCATGGATAGTGGCTAGTCGGTGTTGGCCATGGCCCATAAGTGTGTGGAACCCTCAAATCCAGCAATCGCTTGTGGGTCCTGCGGGACTTGGAGTTCATATTTTAAGCCGGCTCGAGTTGAAACGCCACCGGAATAGTAATGCCCACAAATTAGGCTAGCGACTGACGCAAAAATTACTGAAATTGGCATTCACTCGACCGGTGGCAGGCAGAAATGGCCAAAACAAACACACACTCCCGCACACAGCATGGTCAACAGACGTATGTAAATTCCAGAATTGGTTTAGGCCACTACAAAATGAACAACCAACCACATTATGCCAAAGCTCATCAGCAGCGCCAATGTCATCAGGAGTAGCGACAGTCAGACAATGGGTTTGCAGGTAGAGGTAAACTTGGGCAAGAGACACATAATTCGATTAGCTTTAAAAAGAAATAAACATTTATGGAGAATCATGAAAACGATGTCTGGTCTAGGTGTTCTAGAAATGTACTTTCATACCTGAACTTTTGTGTAGTAAATGGAAATATTGAAGAAAGAAACTTACGAGGCTGGTACTGGCAATCAAAAATCATCACCAAAAGGGATTGAATTTCAATTTGTAAAGACAAAGAGGTAAAAAATCCATGAAATAGTTGCTTACTTTATCCCCCATTGATCATATTTACCTTTTCAGAAAACCTAAAAACAAAGCCATTCTATTTTACTGCTTCGGAAAAGTCAATTTATCCTGGTTAAAATGCAATATCTAGCCTCGGGCATCTGTATACGAATGTCGTGAACTAATTAAAAGAATAGTGTTTATTTGGGAAAAGCTTGCCATAGAGCCTAAGGCAGAATAATGGGTTTTACCACAAAAAGGCTATTCCCAAAAACTATTCCGTTTTAATGCCCTCAAAAGTTGCTAAGCCCTCCCCATTGTGCAGGTGCCTGCCGTGTGGCATGTGCCATGTTTCACTTTGTATGCTGCAGCCCTGGTTGGCCAATGACGCAGTCACCTGAAGGTTGTTAGAGAGATAAAGAGGGCAGGGATTTGGTCCAGACTGGCCCATATGGTGTACTCGTCCTGGCACTTTGACCCCTTAGTTAATATTTCATGGATTTTGCCTTTTTATGGAGCCAGAACAAAAACAAAGATACGGGCAGTGATAGAAGGGAGAATGGGAAAGAAAAAATGATTGGATTTAGTTGGTTGTACAGTTTTTTTTTCTTCCTTCAATATCGATTAACTTGATGAAGGCAAAAACTGAAATTTAATTAGTCTCAAAATATTTCTTGCACAAAAAATGATAGAAAAATATTTGCCAGACTTCATAGTCCAGCGAATACCTAATTGCAAAGTCTGTTTTTTGCCAGCTTTTGTAAATATTAGTTTTGTTATTAGTTTCCCTTGAAAAAAATAGCAGGAAATTGGGCAGCAAAAATGTTGTTAACTATTTATAATTAATTATTTTGCGGTGAAAGTTGAGTTTACGTAGATCCTCACAGAGTTTTGATTCGAATTATCAAGCTATGATCTACCCACGAATGTTCTTGTTCCGATTTAATAGCCTCTTTGGCTACAGTTTTATAATTCCAGGCACTTGTAACTTTTCGTCTCGTCAAAGGTCAAGAGGTCTTAATCCCAGCAATCTTTGTGGCACGTGCATCATTAGCGTGGCATCAGGACACTCAGGATGCTCGGGAAACTCGCATCAGCAACGGGTCTTCATTTTTCATGTAATTATAAAAAATATGCGTGGGCCGACGAGCCAAAAAGGCACGCAGTAATTACATGTCCAATAAAAAGTCATGGCTTTTTGGAAGGACAAAATGACGGCGGCCGTAATTAAAACGCCGAGCGCTTGTGGCCAAAAGAAGACGGAGAGCCACTTGACTCGTGGCCATCTGAGGCTCAGTCTCATCCTCATCGCCATCGTCATCCTCATCCGCACCTGTAACGGCATCCGGAATCGTAACGCCCGCATCCGCCAACTCTTGGTGTTTATGAGGATAACCAGCAGCGGAGAAACCCAGCAGTCGACACACATTCTAGCATAAACCAGAAAACTTCTCACCGGGGAGCACTTTGGATTATAGCCGCCTCGAGTGCACATAAAACACGAGCCTGAGGACTCAGATTGCTGCATCTATCTAACTCATGAGTAACTTCACTGGGGTGGAGGGGGAGGTTGGAGGCTGAT